CAGGAGAGGGGAAGAGCAGACCGGAGAGCAGAGAGGCTGGGGTCGGCTAGCTGTTAGAAGGAAGGTAAGCTTACTGAAAACCAAGCGCTTTGGTTTATCTTCCACCGGCCCACAGCCACGGTCCCTTTCCTCCTCCTTGTCATTGATAAGAGGTCTGGAAAAGACCCACATCAGGAACCTCAAACCCATGTGCAGTTCATCTTTGGTAGAGAGCAATTCACAGTATGCCCGTCAGAGGACTGAGCTGCAGGAGGTTCAGGTGTTCTGCAAGCAGCCACTCCCGTCTTAGGTGTGCACTCGAAGATGTGACCTTTGTTTCTAATACTGAACCTAGACTATCACTACCATTGCTTTACCTTGGCATCTGTTCTCTTCCAGCTAAACTATATTTCTTTTACTTTTTAGTGGACATTTGATCCCATCTGCTTTCTAATTTTCAGCTTTTCTATGGATTTTATGTTCTGAGAGAAGCTGCTTTGTAGGAACGAAGATTCCACCGAAAACTACACATTGCCTTGGTTTTGTCTCCTCGGATTTTAATTTAGAATCACTCTTCCCCTCTTTTTTTCCCATCTGATACCAACCCATTTCATCAAAGTCACTTGACTTTAACTTTTCTCAAATACCCTAACAGTTTTCAAAAGGTACCGTAGCTTTTCCCTTTAAACATCTTTTTTTAAAAAAAACTTGATTTGTGCTGGGCATGATAGCACATGCTTTTAGTTCCATCATTTGGGAGGCAGAGACAGGCAGATCACTGTGATATTGAGGCCAGCCTGGTCTATATAGTGAGTTCTAGGCCAGCTGGGGCTACGGGGAGACCCTGTCTCAAACAAAACAAAACAAAACAAAAAAATTTTTTTTTTATTTGTTTTCAGAGAGTCTTAGTATGTTGCCCAACATGGCCTCAAGCTCGTAATCCTCCTGTCTCAGCCTCCTGGGCACTAGAATTATAGGACGGAGGGCTACAGTAAAGAGCATCAAGACCCATCTAATCTGTTTCATTTAATAAGCATGCCTAATTCCAGTACCAGTTCAGGTTTAGTTTGCTAGTGCTAACTGTCAATCTACATTATGTCACACAATTTAATTCTATTTCAACACATTCCTGAGACCCCAAAGCTGAGCACTCCTGATACAATCTTACTGATAAGGTTATGAGAGGATTAAAGTTTTGTTTTTGAATTAATTTTAGTTGAAGCAACCTCCAATGCCCCAATACAACCTACCTGATACAGAGAGGGTAACCATGTAAGTTTTTCTGTGTGGTGTGTATGTGTGTGTATGTGTGGGGGTGTACACCGGGTGTCTTCCTCTGTCACTCTCTACCTTATTTTTATTTTTATTTTGGTGTTTTTGAGACAGGGTCTCCCTGTAGTCCCAGCTGGCCTGGAACTCACTATGTAGACCAAGCTGGCCTCAAACTCACAGAGATCTGCCTGCCTCTGCCACCGAAGTGCTGGGATTGAAAGGATGTGCCACCATGCCCTGCTAAATTATATTTATTTTATTTTATGTGTATCAGTGCATTGCCTGCATGTATGTAAGTTCACCTGTACCATGCAATGCCTGCAGAGGTCAGAAGAGAGCGTCAGATCCCCTGGAACTGGAGTTATGGACAGTTATTAGCTGCCATGTGGGAGCTGGGAATTGAACCCAGGTCCTCTGCAAGTGCAGTCAGTGCTTTTAAATGCTGAGCCATCTCTCTAGCCCTTCTCCATCTTATTTTTTGAGACAAAAATCTCTCACCAAACTGGGAGTTCACCCATTCAGCTAGACTGGATGGCCAGCAAGCTCGAGAGCCTACTGTCCCTACCCAAGCCCCAGCACTGAGATTACAGATGTATGCTACTTTGGGTTACATGTGGGTGCTGGGGATCTAGACTCAGATTCTTGTTCTTGAGCAGTAAGTACTTTACCACAAGCCATCATGCCAGCCCCCCGAAATTTCTGTTTTTAATATAATAATTTTTCTTTTACTGAGACATTTGAGAATGAAATGATGTGTTATGAATAACTGCACTAAAAATACATATAAACTGAGGGGTCTTGGGCTATGAATAATTTGTAAAACTTTCTGTTAAAAGGTTTATTTTTGTCTTTGCAAACATCATGTCACTTTGTGCTCCTGCTTAGCTATGCTTGAGAGTTGTCCCCAGGGATATTTATTGAGCTGCTCTTACTGGGCAGAGGCATTGCTGGGAACACAGATGAAGGAGCAGACAAGCTCCCAGTGCACACAGGCTTCCAATCTAGCTGCCTTCTCTGCAGCCAAGAGCTCAGAACTTTCCATCCTTGGAATGCAGAATAGTAGATGAAGCTCAGTTCTCCAAAGTTGTTACTGACCCATTTCCAACAGCCTCATGCACTTCAGAGGGAACAAAGGCTTTCAAGGCAGCGGCCAGCATATGCCCTTTGGTTCTATTACTACTAGTGGCTCTGAGTAAGATACTTAGCTGATCTTCGCATGAAGGATTATGTTTCCAATACAGAGTGATATAAGATGTACAATGCCCGTGCATGAGCATGTGCATCTAGTTATTGCTATATTTTTTTAAAAATTAAACCTAGCACAAAGAACACAGTAAATGTCAACTCAAGCTGGCAAGGGATGGGGAGGGGAAAGGTGGAATTACAGGGGAAGGGAGAGGTGGAATTACAGGGATATGTGCTGGTGCTGGGCAGTGAAGACAGCTCTAATGAACTGTTCTCTGTGCTGCTTGAGTCACAGAGCTCTGGGAAGGAAAGGCCTTCTGAGGAACAGAATCAGCTGCCTAATTTGAGCCTTTTCCTAAGAAGGATGTCCTGTTCTGACTGTACTAGTCCCTTCCCAGGCTCCCATCCCAGTGTCCCCAGAATTTGTTGATCTCATGGAGCAGAGTCAAGGGCATAGCAAGGGTGCTGAGAAGCAGAGAAATCTGAGAGGAGGGTGAGAGAGTGATTTAGAATGTGATCAGAAGCAGCAGCTCTGGGGGCCAGCTGCTCTGTGCAGGAGTTTTAAAGTCTGCAAGGTACTTTGGGCCATGGCACACAGCACAAAATAAATGAGTTCCAGAAAGATCTGATTTGCCCTCTTGCCAAAGGCTTCTTTCCATGACTCACAAAATCAGAGCCACAACACACTCAGTGTTGGTAATCACACAAATTAGAACACTGTTAAAGTCCACTATCCAGTAACTAGAATTAAGCAAATAGCTTATAATCAACATAAATCTGAATAGTTAGTTAAAAATATCTTGTTGCCAACATTCCTTTTTAGATAGGTTGACTAGATTCAGTGGATAGACTTGCACTGCAGAACGGCTGGGGCCACTGACAACACAGTGGGGAGTAACAGGGATGACAGAGTATATGGACTCCGGGGGGGGGGGTAGGGGAGGGTGCTATTTGGGATGGAGGTATATAGATGATTAAGATTGTTAATAAAAGTAGTTTAAAAAAAATCACAATTTCCTAGAAAAAAATATCTTGTTGATGGTGTAATACATGAACACAGGCAGTAAGAAGTCTCTACTGATAATAAAAAAAAGAAATGAAAAGTCTTATCTTATGCTACTTTGTAAATTTGCTTTTTAGCACATCTATGATTTCCACCTATGAACACAACTGGCTAGATTTCATTTGACAGCAAATCTTTTTCTGTATGAAATGCTTAGCGCACTTTTTAAAAAAGCAATACATATTCACTGGGAAATACTGGTAAGATTTTTCACCTAAAGTGAAAATGAAAAGCGCCTGTAATCCCAGCATTTGGGGTATGCCCCATTCACACCTCACCACCTAGCTTCTAATTATGGGTAGTTTTCATGATGTGACATCATCAGCAGTGTTCTTTACTCCAGCTTATTTCTGTGGTCAAGGTAGCATGCAGGGCACTACACAGTCTACAATTTTTAAAACACTAGGTTTCCATTTGCAATCTGCAGCAGTCTAAACCCTTAATTAGTAACAGCAGGTGCTGAAGTGCTTAAAGAAAATCACTCCTACATTTTAGTGAGTTGTTATTTACGTTACTCTTATCACCAGGCACATGCTGACAATCAGTGGCAGGTGCAGGGGCCAGCGCTCTCACAGGGCAATCAAGGGCCTCCCGTCTCCGCAGAAGTCAAGGGATTTAGGCCTCTCTATCTGGAGACTGAGCAAGCTGCTGTTCTTGCAAAGGCACACAGAAGGCTCAGTGGGGGCCTCACACTCTCAAGGGTCGGAAGTCACAATTATTTATGCCCTAGATAACCAGATATTTTATTCAGAATCCTATTTCGTGCAGCTTTGCTTAATCCTGCATCATAAAATACTTCTCATCAGGGCCTTAGCAGCCTCCGAATTACTCAAACCTGCAAAATGCCCTACTTCAGAATGGTAAATAACTCCGTTCAGAAAGCTTGTGAGATTAAGTGTGGACTCTTGAAGGATAACGCAATTCCATTTGGTACAAAGGGCTCCTCGCTCTCATTTGTCCAGCAAGATCCATAAACAGCCAACACTTGGCTAGCTGCGCTCTGTGCACCGGGGAAGGCTTTGTCTACGCGTCTCTAACCCGTAACCGCAGCCCGGGCTACCCTGGACCTCGAGGCAGTCTTCCTGCCTCAGCCGCCCAAGCGCGAGCCTCCACCCAGCTTTCATTTTAATGTGGAAGTTACCAAGGCCCCGAGCACCGCCAGGGGCTATCCAGGCGCTCGGTGGCGTCTGCTTGCAGGGTGTAGCCCACGGCTTTGTTTCCAGGATCCAGACGCGTGGGGTTCTGACACTTTGGGACGCCATGTTGGCAAAGCCAATTGTGCCGGAACACAAATGGCGGAGACAAGCGACCCTGTCTACTCCAGATAACCCTGGCTACTGAAAGCCTCGGGGCACGAGTCCACTCCCGGTCGAGCCCCGAGGCCTTGCAGCCCACCTCGGGTCCTGGGCGGCGGCTGCGGCCTGCGTCCTCCAGTGCCCTCTCCCCGCGGCCCAATCCATCCGCGCTGACGGGCGCAGCTGCCGCCCCTTCCTCCTCCTACCTGGCTCGGGATCTGGCCGAGCTCCTGGCTGCTAAATGAGGCGGCCATGGCGCGCGCACGTGTGGGGAGGCCTCTCCCCGGAGGCGCTGGCGGCTTGGCGGGCGCTGCGCTGGGGGCTCCCTCCTCGGCTGGGTGCGCACGGCACTCTGCCCTCCAGCCCGCCTGTCCGAGCACGGGGTGGGGGGTGGGGGGGGGTCTAGAGTGACGTGGACACCCAGCACGGCACCCCTACCCGGAACACCTCATGGCTGCGGGCTTGCCACCGGAGCCTGCAGAAGGGCAAGCATGGCCGCTCCGAAAGGCGTCAGGCCCACCCACGCATGGGCAGTGTGTAAGGGCTGGAATTAGCAAATAGGTTTTGATTTTTTACAAATATATGCATTTGTCTAATAAAATATATTTGTATAATGTATCTGCATATACACATAATATGTAAAATGCATGGACAGTGAGGTCACGTACTGTCTGGTGCTTTCTTCTTAAAGCACTAAGAAATTCAGAATTTTGCACTTTTTCAAAAAGATTTTTATGTGAAGGAGTGTTCGCTTGCATGTGGAAGTATGTACAACACATGCGAAGTGTCCATGGAGGCCAGAAGAGGGCACCAGATCCCCGGAAATGAGTTACAGACTGCTGTGAGCCACCATGTGGGTGCTGGGAATGCTTTTCAAGAACAGCGCGTGCTCTAAATGCTGAGTCATCTCTCCAGCCCCGGAAGTACTTCATTTTGTCATGCTATAGAACAAATGGAAATTTCTTGGCAACTACTGACATGAGAACCCTTTATTCAGCCTTCAGTAAACACAGATTTATTGAGTCAAACGCTGTAGAGGATCCTTCTTGAGTTACCACCACATCATATTTTTTCTAATGCTAGAAAACTGGTTTTTGGGGTCAACAGACAGACGAGATCTTACTTGAACAGTCAAGGAAACAGCACTGTGTGAGCCATCACTTCAGGTGATCGTCTCCTAGCCCACTTCTGGATTCCTGAGCAGCTGTTGTATTTGGCTGTGGACCCTGATGTAGATCATTGGAGTATGTAAAAGTAGTCCCATGGCTCTCTACTATTTTGATGGAAAGGAAAGGCGAAATAAATTGCTTTATGCAGTCATTCTATATTGCTTCTGGAAGCATAGACTAAACTCCTTCATCTATGGACTCAAGCAACTGTGGAGGACTGAAAATATTTTTTTTTAATGAAAAATCAAAACCCTGCGTCAGAATTAAACAAGTACAGACTCTCCCTCTTTATCCCTAAACAACATAGATAACAACTGTTTATATTGGATATTATAAGATGACCATCCCTTATCTGAAAAGCTTCAGACCTGAACTATTTTTACAAATTTGAGGATATTTGCATATACAAAATGAAACATCTTGGGGATGAGATCGAAGTCTAAACATGAAATTCATTCTAGGCCACACAGTGTAGGGATCCAGCCCTTAAACATGATGTTCACTTATATTTCATAAGTATCTATACTTATAGCCTGAGGATGATTTTTTTTAATTATTTTTATTTTATGTGTATGAGTGTATTGCCTGTATGCATGTAAGTGTACCTGTGTCGTGCAATGCCCTCATGAGGTCAGAAGAGCGTGTTGGAGCCCCTGGAACTGGAGTTATGGATCATTGTGAGCTGCCATGTGGGTGCTGGGAATAGAACCCAGGTCCTCTGCAAGTGCTCTTAACTGCTAAACCATTTCTTCAGCCCCCTGAAGATGATTTTTCCCCCTTTTCCTGTTTTGCTGTTTTCATTTTTCTATTGAATTTTTATGTATTTCATACAGAACTTCTCAATCAACCTTAATCATCTTTATACCCCCTTCCCCAACGGCACCCTCTCATAGCCACCCCCCACCCCTGGGAATTCATACATACTGTCATTTGTCTTAAGGCCTATTGTGTCAAGTTAGTGTCCTCACATGTCTCTCAGTGCAAGCTCATCTACTGCGATCTAGTCAGATGGAGGTGATTTTATATAAACTTTAAAAAAATAATTTTGTGCAGCTCCTCTCATGCAGTCAGCTCCCACTTGTGGCACCATGTCACCACTCAAATAGTTTCAACTTTGGGACCCTTTTAAAATTTCAGATTAGGCGTGCCCTATCTGCATAAGCAATCTAGAGATGATTTAAAGAAGGATGCATGTGGTTTATATGCAAACACTATGCCATTTATATTAAGGGACTTGAGCAATGACAGATCTTGGTATCTGCAAGGGTTCCAAAATCAATCCTCTGATTATACAGTGGAAGATTGTACCTGTATGCATTTTAATAAGCATAAATTTCACCTCTTTGTTGCTTTCCCAACTTATCAGGACCTTAGAGTACTTAGATACATGTCTATGAGGCAGTTGGTTTGTTCATCAATATAGGACAAAGGTGAAGTCATGCCTATACATTGAGGTGGGGTATGAACTGAGTCCACTTTGAACATTTTCTTCTTGAATAGTAACTAGGTTTCCATTGCTCCGGTGGTGCAGAATAGCAAGTGTGAGGCTAAGCTGACTAACACGTATATGTTGTTTCTTGTTTGAATTAAAAAAAAAATACCCTTAAGATTATGTGAGAGGAAATCATCACTTCTGAGTTGGAGAAAGAGAAAAAAATAGATTTCTTCTATATGTAGAACATGAGAGTTAAGATTCATAAGACAACTTAGATTTTTTTCATTTTTCAATCTCTTAAAGCTTAATTTATAAATGATCAGGTATTTGCTGTAAAACAGTGGTTCTCCTTGAAAGGGATTTTATCAGGGACGCCCCCCCCCCATCCATGACATTTGGCATCATATAGAGACAGATTTCATTATCACAACTGGTTTGAGGTGAACTGGGTTCTGGTAAGTGGATTTGAAGGACACTGCTAAATAGCCTACAATGCTCAGGGCAGCCCCCTGCAACAGAGAATCATCTGTCCCAACATAGCATTGTTTTTGGAGAAACCCTGCCGTAAACCCCATGAACAACGATGGAATTCAACCATTTAATTTTTAATTTTTATTGAATAACCCATTAATTCCAGTTCGTGCTGTCCATATTCCTTCTGGGAGTGGGGCCATCCACTGAAGCATGTTGACTTTAAACCATTTAATTCCTTGTGTCACCTTTAACTTTTTGAGTTATGCTCATTTATATTACTGGAGACAAATGGACAGATGGAGACTTTCTATAGTTCCCAAAATAGCAACATATTACGAATATAATACTGTGCCTATAAACTATTGCAGCAATAATTCTATATGCAGAAATAAATTAGAAAAAATTATACTAACAATTCAGTCTGTCTTACAAGATGGCTATAAACTTAGGAGCTTTATATGATTCTCCTAATTATATTATTATTCTCTCTCTCTCTCTCTCTCTCTCTCTCTCTCTCTCTCTCTCTCTCTCTCTCTCTCTTTACCTTTCACTGCTGGAGATTAAACCTAGGCTATGCATGGTAAGCAGTCTACCTCTGAGATAGATATACCCCTAGCCTTCATATTTACTTTTTCTTTTGAGACAGGCTCTTACTAAGTTGCTCAAACTGGTCTTAAACCTGCAGTTTCCCTGCCTCAGCCTTCTGAGTAGCTGAGATTACAGGCCTGTGACGCCAGCCCTAGTCAACTGTATATTTTTCACAGTATGCATATGGAGTACATGGTCTCTTCAAATGAACTCTTATATTTAAAAACTTATGCTTTCAACGTTTGGAAATCTTCCATTCAGGTATTTTATAGTAATTATTATATATGTTGTGCCCAATGTTGTTGATATCTAGCTTATTTTCAAAATTATCTTTTTTTTAAAAAAAAGATTACAGGACTTAATCAATTTACAGGACATAAATAAGATTGTAACCACAAAAGTTGAAAGCCAGAGAGTTTACTAATTTCAATTATTTTACTTAAAACTTCTTTTTCTATGTAGAATACTATTAAATACATAAACTTAAAATACCTGAATGGAAG